TCATTATTGATTACAAAGAGCTGAACGTCGTCACTGGACGGCTGTTGAGCAGCCGTACGACCAAACCACATCCCAGCTGTGTCTAATGTTCTGTCTGTAGTCTTTGGATGACATCACATAGGGATATGACCGTGAACGTGTTCACTGTGACCTCATCGCTTGGTTTGGATGTCAGGACATCTTATTGAATTTATATGGAAAGATTGAAAGACTTAAAACTGTCACCGCCCGGTTTTCCGACCCTAAAACAAACAACGGCCGATGCAGAGAATTCCCGAGCGCAGCTTTCACACATTCAGTGATTCTTTTACAAACCTCTAAGATGTTTGCTTCTCCACGAGACGCCTCGCTGTCTGTGAGCGTCTGAGGACACACAATAACTACAGAGGTAACGAGGGACGTAGCAGAAGGGAAACACAGCTGAACCTAATCTGACACACGAGACAGGAAGGAAACACGGGACTGTCAAAGTAAAACAGGAAATACACAGAAACCAGGATAACGAGATGTAACGTGGAGCACAGGCGAGGCTCATTAAGACGTTTTAACAGAACTCAGTGGACATCACAGGACCTGCAGCTCTATTGTTTTTATTGTTGGAGTCTATTTCCAGCCCTGGAGGTTATGCATCGCACCAAGAAGGGAAATTCCTGACTGCTGTTTGAATCGTTGCAATGGGCATTTTATCTTATCCAGCACAGGAGGAGAGCTCGTTCGCCTCCCACAGAGCACAAAGAGCCGTCAGTCCATCCGTCTCTCCATTCTTCTCCTTTTAAATAAAATGTCTTTATTGGCCTCCTTCCTCAGCTGGCAGCTTCCTCCTGACCGGCGACACGGAAACAAGAAGCCCCCCCCGAGCTGAGGTCTCCGGGGAGCTCCGGGTCTGTCCTCCATCCCGACACAAATAGAGTAACCGCCACGAGTCACCCGGTCTCGGCGGGTCTGAGTGAGGGAGTCAGGGCGACTCCTCAGCAGTCTTTGTGCAGCTGTCCTGCTGCAGGTGGTCCATGCTTCTGTCTGACTCTGGATTTAAACTGCACCTCTCCAGGAAGCTGCTTTCACCTGAGTGCAGGACGAATCTGACAAAATGTGTTTGTGATGTTTCTGCTGAGGCTGGATTAACCACAGCGCTCAGAGGCACGTCTGTAATAATTTCATCTGCTCGATTTGCTTCGTCCACTGTAGTCAAATACAGGACCGTCGACCTGCTACCTAACCTGATATCACTGATCTGTGAGCTCACAGGCGCCATAAACACGGGAAACAAGAAGAAACTCTCTGAGAATAAAATGCTGAATTGCAACCAGCAGCAAAGTTCTTCATTATTATTACAGACACTGCCTTTAATAACAGTTTGGTTCGTGGATATCATCTCAAAGAAGAGTGACTCTCATTGTTCTTCCCTGAAGTCCTTTATTTATCTGACAGACAAAAATAATCAGTTTACGGCACTCAAAATGGTCAAATATTCACATATTATGTCTAATATTATAATATTATAATAATTTAATAATATTATAATATTATAATAATATATTATTATTATAATTATTATTATTATTAT